CCACCGGCGGCTTCCTCCCAAGCCACCTCTCCAACGGCACCCACGAGTCATCCCCAACCTTTGTGAGTACCCTGTTCCTAGCGACGGTAGCGTGCCGAACAGCATGGGGCCACATCAAGTTGCCCAGCCCAGATTCTATGAGTAGCGCCCTAGCTGTCTCCAGAATTGTCCGGTTCGCCCGTTCTGCTACACCGTTGGACTGTGGGGTGTAAGCCGTGGTCAGCTCCCTCTGGATGCCCTGCTTTTTGAGCCAGGCCGTCATCTCAGCTCCAAGGAACTCACCACCCCGATCTGTCCTAATCCGCTTCACCACACACTCCGCTTGCTTCTCCACGAACGGCAGCCAATCGTCCCGAATCGTGGAGGCGGCGTGATCTTTCTGCTTCACCGGATACGCCCACATTAGCCTGCTCCAGTCATCCACTATGGTTAGGAAGTACCGCTCCCCCTTGTGCCCTTGCACCGGCAGCGGCCCCACCAAGTCCATGTGGACCAGCTCCAACGGCTTTTTGCTCCTGCCAGCCACACTATGGAAGGGGAAACGGGTGAACTTTGAAAGGAGGCAAATTTCACAGTTATCATCGGGTGGTTGTCCGTTCAGCTTCAAGCCCTTAACGGCTCCATCCTTCTCCAGCTGCTTCAGCAAAGGCATTGCCACATGCCCCAAGCGTCGGTGTGCAGTTGCCCAATCCGTCTCCCCAGATCTGGCCGACACTTTCACACTAACCCCTCCAACGGCATTGCACTCCCGCTGGGATGCAGACCCCTCTCCAGCCTGCCCCCCACCATGCCACGCCAACGCCGTCAGCTGCCACATAGATCTGTACACGTCCTTGCTCTCGTGCAGATCCCAAAGCACCCGATTGCCCAGCTTCCCCTTATAAGTGCGAGCCCCATCCGTGTTGGTGTTCACCCCAGCCTTGCCAAGCTTACGGAGGGAGATAAGGTTGGCCTTCAGGTCGGGGACGAGGAGAACGTCGTGCAGCACCACCGGCTTGCCATCCGCTCCCTTAAACGCAGCTCGTCCCGCACCAGCCACCTTCAACATGTGTCCAGAGGCAGAGCACACCTCATTAATCGGTGCAGCGCGTACGTCGTCCAGCAGGTCCTTGCGCGGCGTCATTGTCCAAGCAGCGCTTGTGTCCAACACCCAATAGTCCAAGGGGTGCAGCTCTGCTCCAACCTTAGCAGATGCGTCTCCTTGCTCCCCCTTGTCTCCCACATGGAAGAATTGGCCCGCGCTGCGCTCCTTCTTCTCCGCACCGCCATTGCCCTTCGAGTTGTTGTCGGACGAATCAGCGACCATGTTGGCGCCGTTTTTCTGGTTCCTCCGCGCGCCGCCATCCTGGTGACGATTCTGGGGGGTCCATCCATCGGGTTTCTTATAGCACAAAAACCAGGAGTCGTCGTCTTTCTTTGCACCGCGTCCAGCACCACCGAAGCCACGTCCTTTGCCACGTCGGCTCCCTTGCATCCCGTAGCCGCTGCTGCCGTCGTCTCCACCCCTCAGTTGGCGGCGACGGAAGTCCTCCTCCAGAATCTTCGTCCGCACCCACTCGAGCGTCCACAAGCTCTGGTTCTGCGGCAGGCTCAATCCGCTCGTGAATTGAAGCCACGATTCCGGCAGCAGCGAGAGCATCTTCAGGCACTTGGTCTGCTCCGGGTAGGTGATTCCCGCGATCGCCAGCTTCGCGTAGAGATCACGCATCTTGTCCAGGATGGGTTGTACCGGCTCTCCCTCGCTTAGGCGCAACGCGGACAGCTCCCTCTCCATCATGAGCGTCGCAGCGACGGAGGTAGGGGCGTGCAGCTCCTTCAACACCGTCCACGCCTTCGGACCGCACTCAACCTCCGGCAGCAGGTGCATGACGTGGTGACGCTGGTTCAGCTCCAAACTCTGCGACATCAAGTAGTAGCCAGCCGAGGCGCGCTCGTCCCTATCTTCCTGAAGGGCGGGGTCACTCGGTCTAGGCTCCTCCCCAATCATTAGTTTCAGCAATCCGATCTGACGGAAATAAAGTTGCATTTTCCAGGCCCAATCATCATAGCCCTCACCATTGAACTTCTCGACGGTGAAGTTTTTCAGCACCTCCTTGATCAGCGAGCCCTGGCTTGTTCGCGCTCCCCTTGGCGCAGAAACACCAGAATCATGGCTGCCGCTACGATATTGGGCTGAAGATTCACCAGCTACCGCCGAGGTGTTCCCCGCCATAGCTACCTATATCGAGGATCACTATAACGCAGCTCTGATACCAGCTTGTTGGTGTAAGGGCCTAATAAACTCAAGCTATTAAGACTTTATCACACTTAAAAACCTCTCCTCGGGGTCACCTCCAAGGGTCCTTGGGTGCCTGCTACAAGACCAGCCCCTATCCTCGGGTCCGAGTTTGTAGAGAGAGGGATCAAAAGGGACTTAGTCAAAACAGCAAGAGTACCTTGAACGTCGCGCAGCGTATCGTGCAGACCGTAGATCGGATTAAGCTGAGAATTTACTATATCGAAGCTCACGCTAAGAGCTTTAAAATAAGCCAAGTTGCCTCGCGAAAAAATTTGCCATTACGAAGTTATGGCTCGGACAGCGTTAGCCTAGCGTTGGAGTGCTAGCGTACTAGCGTTGACTCGGGTAGCATTCTGCCGTCGCACCGCGAAGAAACGAAATTCCAGGAAAGGAGGAATTCGCTTGAATCAATTTCACTATATTCAGGTACAAAGAGAGAAGGAATAAATAGCTCTAGCTAGCAAGGACTTTGGGAATCAACCTGGGAACAACCAGGGATGGTCCCAAATAATTCCAAGCAACAGAACCAACCTGGCTGGACAAAATAGCAGGTGGTAGGTTGGTGAACAACCTCTGGTTCTGTTTTTTCCAACATGGGAAAACAACAACCAGGTTCAGGTCCTAAAAACAGAACCTGTTTTGTCTTTGCCCAACCAGCCAAATGCTGGTTCCGCTGGTTTCCCCTGGCCCGGTAGCATGCAGATACAGACAAACAAGATCCATCCTTCACCTAAATTGTACCCCTATAGTGCCTGCCCTGCTACACTATAGTCAACCAAACAAAACAGTAATTTCGAGTTGGATAGAACTGAATCTGCGCAATCAAGTAAGCCGAACCACAAAGCTTCCATCTTGGGTTCCTTTGCGAGCTCGTCCTTTCTGCTTGTACTGTTCATAGCGCGTACAATGTTATGCCGAAGCGCACATTGTGCGAGTACCTGCAAATGCTTCAAGCGAAATTTGCGAAAGCAAACAAACACACGAACATACCATTCACACGCAAATGCATTCGCACACGCATACTCGTACAAACAGACGGCAGGATGTCGTGCAATGTGAATTTGCACCCAACAGCTGGTACGTACGCCTGTGCTCTCACCTTCTCATACCTCCCTTCCGCTTCTGCTACTTTTGGTGTGGACACCTATGCCCCTTGTTTCTTCCCTGGTGATAGAGTTAGTTCAGTCGGAGCATGAGTGCTTGCCATCCACTCAAGTTCCCCGTTCCTGCCGTCATCACAACTATCCCCTTTGCTATCTGCTTCTCTGATGCCATCAGCCCCAGTTCTTCTGCCATGACCTTCCCTAACATCCTTCTCCATGCTCCAGTGTCTGTGATCACCGTCTTGACCTTCTCCCCCTCGATTGCCGTCGCCTCATTTCTCACCATCAGTTCTGAGGTCTGGCTTACCCGCCCGTCCCACGAGTGGCGAGCTACAACGTCCCTTGGTGTCGTCTCCTGTGCCTGCTGCCCCTTCTGTCCTCCCTTTTGTCGGTGCTCCTGCTGGCCGTCCTTCCCTCCACTTCGTAGTCCCATCTCTTCCCTTCCCTTCCATGCCACGTACGCGCGCTGCACCTCCTGCTCTTCTTCCCTGTCATCCTAATCCCTGGCGCTCGTTCCTGCCTCTGCTCTCCGCCTTTGTCTTGCCTGCAGCTGTGCTTGTAGCCTGCTGAGCTCATGTTCCAGCTCTTCCGGGTTCCCCTTTGCTGTCCCCTCCCGCTGGTAGCAGTCCTTCGCTTCACGTCCCTTCTTGTTAGAAATTTCACACCACGATGCATCTGGGCACTCTCTCCTCAAGTATCCTGGCTTCCCACAGCGATCACAGTTCTTGCAATCTCTCCTAACGTGCCCCGACTGTCCGCATCTGTAGCAGGTCCTGTTGTCTGCCCTACCATCCCCTCGTCCCTCTAACCTTCCCTGATCTCCAGATACTATTGCTGGTGCCCTTATCGGCCCACGGCTCCTCTCTGTCGTTTGTGGCCGGTACGCTTCAAACTTCCTCTGCGCAAACTCTATTTTCTCTGCCAACTCGAAGACTTCATCCAGCGTTGTGTCTGCCCCCATTTCGTACACCCTCATCCGCAATCCGCTTCCCATGGTGCTGTCGAGTCCATCCAGGAACTTGCTAACAAGAAGGCCCATGTCTGCACATGTTACATCCTCCGCCAGGTTGATCAGCCGGTTGTAGTAGGTAAGCAACGACTCGCTCCACCCTCTCCTGAAATTCTGAAATTCTCTTATCTTCTCCGCGGTGTGCCCTGGAAACTGCCGCTGTAACTGCTTCAGAAATGCTTCCGTGGGGTCTTCCCTGTACCTTCCTGCCCTCTCTAGAAACTCATCCATCTTCATTCTGTACAGCGTTTCCGCCTCCCCTTCCAGTGTGTTCAGCAGACTCAGGAAAAAATCCACCCAGTCCATACCACTCCTCTCGCACCTGTATCTCACATTCCCTACTTGCATTAAGTAGTTCTTGAGTGAGGGCCCTGTGCGCTGATCTCCCGCACTTCCACTTGCGCAAACATCACCGTGCTCCCCCGACCGTCTCCCCATGATTTACTCAGTCCTCTCGCCTGCCTTCCTGATGACTCCCTCCTCCTTGCCCTCTTGATTCTTTCCCTTGCCACTCTGGTGCGCTCCGTGCTGTATGCCAGCCCGCCGCCTCCCCCTTCGCGTCCGCGCTGGTCCTGTCCCACCTCCCTTCGCATGTCCTCCGCACTCATCCATGCTCCTGCTCGCCCCGACTGCCTCTCTGGCGAGTAATGCGCCCTCGCCCAGCCTTCTCTATGCGTTCCTCGCTGCCAATGCCTCTCGGGCGAAGGGGATCTCTCGTCCCTTCTCCCTCCGTGCCCGCGACGACTGTCTTGCAGATGCCACTCCTCCTCCCATCTCCCTCCCTGCTTGCGCTGCAGACCTGGCGAACGTGTCTCACCCCTTGCCTTTCCCGCGTAGTGCCGCCACAGATCAGGTGAGCCAGACCCGCCAGTCTGTCGTCTATCATGTTGCCCATGCCGATCAGGCGAGCGCGACCCGCCCCCCTGCCTCCCATCATGGTGCTGACGCACCTCACGCGAGCGCGACCCTCCGTTCCGCCCTCCTCCGCGCAGCCAACGCGGATCAGGTGAGAACTCGTCCTCGCGCACTTCCTGTTGCTCCTCCGCCCGCCCCCGCAGCTGCTCTAATGAATGATTCGCCTTCTCACGCCTCTCCTGCTTCCTGCATCGGCGCCGCTCCAGATTATACCCATATTTCTCCTCTTCACTATACTCATGTTCCTTCGCTTCACATAGCTCCTCATCACTCCATTTCATCTTCTCCCTCCCTTCCTTACCCTCAGGGGAATCTTCTTGACACCGCCTTCCTCGTCCGCCTGCTCCTCGGCGCCCATGATATTCTCTTACCCTTCCCTTGGCACTTCCCGAGTCCTTCCTTGGGGACACATCTCGCTGGCAGCGCTCTTCCTCATCCCTCCTCCTGTGTCTCTCTCTCTCACTTGTCTCCCCCTTGCCTCTCCGCCAGGCTCCAGCACCAACCCTGCTCCTGCGCACGGGTACTCTTTCATTCCTTTACGGCGTGCTCTCGCATCCGCCCTCGCGATGTACTGCGACAAACACTCACTCCCCTTAATACGCGCTTCCCCCTCCTCCTGCCGCTGCTGTGCGGGCCAAGGTTGCGCGTGCCCCCTACCGCGGTCGTTCCCCCTTTCCTCTCGCCGCAGCTCTGGTGATCGCCTTCCACCCAACGCCAGGCACCTCCTGCGTTCGTGTCCGCGTCTTGGTTCAGGCAAGCCATACATACGATTGGGTGCAAATTCACTTTGCACGACATCCTGCCGTCTGTTTGTACGAGTATGCGTGTGCGAATGCATTTGGGTGTGAATAGAATGTTCGTGTGTTTGTTTGCTTTCGCAATTTTCGCTTGAAGCATTTGCAGGTACTCGCGCATTGTGCGCTTCGGCACAACATTGTACGTGCTATGAACAGTACAAGCAGAAAGGACGAGCTCGCAAAGGAACCCAAGATGGAAGCTTTGCGGTTCGGTTGAATTGATTGTGCAGATTCAGTTCTATCCAACTCGAAATTGTACTGTTTTGTTTGGTTGACTATAGTGTAGCAACGCAGGCACTATAGGGGTACAATTTAGGTGAAGGTTGAATGTTGTTTGTCTGTATCTGCATGCTACAGGGCCAGGGGAAACCAGCGGAACCAGCATTTGGCTGGTTGGGCAAAGACAAAACAGGTTCTGTTTTTAGGACCTGAACCTGGTTGTTGTTTTCCCAGGTTGGAAAAACAGAACCAGAGGTTCTTTACCAACCTACCACCTGCTGTTTTGTCCAGCCAGGTTGGTTCTGCTGCTTGGAATTATTTGGGATCATCTCTGGTTGTTTCCAGGTTGATTCCCAAGGTCCTTGCTAGCTAGAGGTATTTATTCCTTCTCTGTCTGTACCTGAATATAGTGAAATTGATTCAAGCGAATTCCTTCCTTGCTGGAATTTCATTTCTACGTGGTGCGATGGCGGAATGCTACCCGAGTCAACGCTAGTACGCTAGCACTCCAATGCTAGGCAAACACTGTCCGAGCCATAAGAGGATCTTACGAAGTTCGGTGACAAGGACAACCCTAAGGAGGATGTCGGCGGGAGTCAAGGGGAGGTGTGCTTCTACTGCAAGAAGCGCAGACATCGTTGGCGGAAGTGCTACCAACGACCCAAGGATTGGACCCCACCTTTATTGAGCATCTAGCATGGTGGCAAGAGGAGTGGGGGAGTCATGGTAGCTAGTGGAGAGGAGAAGGATGACGAGAAAGGCGGCAAATCTGAGGAGCGGAAGGCCGGGTTCTTCTTCTTCGTGAACGAAGGCGCAACCGACCTTGCTATGGCTGCCAAGGTTCTCCAACATCCCCTCACCCATTGGGTGATTGATTCCGGGAACTCTTGGCACATGACTCCTCGTGCGGACTTACTCGATAAGATTCAGCCCGCACCTATCTCTATGGTCACATCCGCGACGAGCGCCAAGGCCGAGGCCTAAAAACTAATATCGACCAAGTTCAGATCTTAACAAAACAGTACTCTTAATTAAAAAGCCGTAAGAGAAAAGGGCAGAGATTTCAGAACATTCAAGGGCCGGGCTTATGATGAAACTACACACCGTTAGCATCTCCCACCTCCTGACATCTCATTTGCTTGTTTGAAATAGTCAACATCTTCTTGGTCATAGAGATCATCCATAGCATATATCGTGTCTCATGATTGCGAGACGTTTGACATTGAGCACTTCTCAGGATATGAAAACATACTACCTTAGATGTCATCTCACGGAAAAAACCACCACAGCAGCACACAAAAGTGTGGGGAGAAGATCAGAAACTTGACTCAGCCACCTACACGCAAGCAGAAAATCTTTTAAGCCAGAAACATAGTCCTTTGTATTGCAAAGAGGAAATTCTGTTTGACTACTGTAGCTTAGCTTGTGGTTACACCGTATACCGCTCATAGATGCCCTGCGACCAGAAAGACATTCAATTGACAACCGTCTTAGAACATTTACTAACCACTCTCCCTTGCTTTACCGTTTTATTCTGAAGCAGGAGGGGAGGGGGAGAGGGAGGGGGTGTGGAAGGGGGAGGGGGAGGGGGAGGGGGAGGGGGAGGGGGAGGGGGAGGGGGAGGGGGAGGGGGAGGGGGTGTGGAAGGGGAATGGCGAGGGAAAGGGAGGGGGAGGGGTAGGGGGGAAGGGATGGAGAGGTGGAGCAGGTGGGGGAAAGATTCCAGCCGACCTCGCACCCATTGCAGATGTATGTCACTTTCAAGGCCTTGAGTGCTCTGGAATGTCAAACATTGTATGATGTGCTTGTTTAGGCTACAGTGGGTTAGCCTATAGTGGGTACACATTTCTAAGGTTAGGTTTGACCTATTTGTACCCAACACTCATTCTAGTCATTCATTCTCGTTTCTGATTCTGACATGGAAGGCATGTACATGTTAGAGCATATAAAACTATATCAGGACTTGCCTTAGTTCAATCAGACGTACGGAAATTTCCTCTGCAGGAATGCAATTGAGGAAAGGTCATGCTCCAAAGAATGGTTGTGATTCAAAACGCAGCTCCTCCAGCCCCTCATGCCCAGATATTACAGCAACAATATTTTTTAAGCCTGATGCGCTAGAAAGTTGTCTGACATGTCAAATATCTGCAAATACTCTCAAAAGCGCCTACACTTTAGGGTCCATAACATGCGTCATGCATGCTAAAGGTGTGATCTTATCTTAAGAGAGGGCCAGTGAGACAGACGGCTACACACAGATAAGACATCATTAATTCCTGCACCCAGCACAACAGGGTTAGTGCTAACGCAAATATGCGAGCATGTAAAAACCAGCAAGACACACCTGTTCCTCGAATATCAAGATGCTCTAGACCCGAAGATGCTTTAAGGCCTTCTAACAGAAATGGTACTGCTTAAGAGAAATGATTCCCAGCTAGCACCACCGTTTTCAAGGTCGAGCCTGCAAAAAAAGAAAATCTCGCTAGCTGCTTTCTGTATTGTGAAAAAACTATTTTGCAAATTGTGGACTCACACTGTTTTAGAGCAATCGCAATGGCAATTCCACCCTTCTCACGAAGGCTGGCATGGGCTATGCCCAGGTGCGATAACGTTCGTGACGGTCTTATTACGCCACAAACGATCAAGTTATGTTCTGTCTCACATTTCGAATAGCCTGCAGAACAGCACACATGTGAGTTCCATTTGATGGCAAGCGGATTGTAGATAAGTCGTACTTAGAGTGCAACGTTCGAAATTGAGTCGAGTCAACTGAGACACTCGAAGCGAACGCATCTTCCTCAGACAGTTCCAATCTATTGAGCATCTAGTTAAACTGATACTTGTGACAGGGTCCTGCATCTAGAAACAAATAATACAGCAAGAACGCAGTATAGGAAATTATGATGTAGGATAAAGAAGACTCACCTCATTTCCATCTATATAGAGAAGCTCCTTGTAGACGTCGCGAGCATGCACTTCGTTCTGTAAAACTATACGGCCCTGCAATAGAGAGCTTAACATAGAAGAAGAATAACAAAAGCAATACGGATGAGGGAGGTGCTCTTTCTCACCCGGTCTTCAAACATTTCTTTCAACCAAAGGTCACGTGAAGTGTTTTAGTCCGAACGAATGTGATGAATGAGTGCACGGGTGGGTAACAAGCCTAAAGTACAATGATAAGGTTCTAAAACTGCGGAACTTTTGGAAACGTCTTGGCAAAAATGCAACTAACGACTGATCCTCTCCAAAATATTAGAGATTCGTATTCTACTAACATATATTAGCTTGACGGTGTCCCTCATCACTAGAAGCGCGGAACGATAATCAAGCGATCGCAAACCAATGGTGGGATGGAGATAAGCGGAGTGGCGAGCCTGGTTAACGCCAACAGACCACAGTGGATTCTTTGGGAGTTGAGAGCTACCGAACTGCGACAGCGAGGCCGAGAATGCGAAGTCCTGTTTCGCTAGAGGCGAGGTCGTTGGGCCGTTTGATGTCGTGCACGCTGATAACTTTAATGATGTCGTCGTCGTCGTCGTCCTCGACTAGGTTTGCCCGTACAATGCTTGAGTCGTATGCCTCACGTGTGACGTCGTCAGGGTCGGGTTGATACAAAAAAAAAAAACGAGGCTGGAGTGGGCTTGTAAGGGGGATGGTTGGATAGTTTTCGTCGTTTGGGATGGATAGTTTTCGTCGTTTGGGATTATTAGTTTTCGGAAAACATCAAATTGGTGCGGAAGAGTAGGAGGGGGAAGAGCAATGAAGGGATGGGTCAGTCCTGACAGTAGGATTTATCCCTAATTAGCCTTTTTGAATAAATATGTCATGAATTACAATCAAATTGCATTATATGATACGACATCCAGATTACATTTAAAGTTCTGGTTTGGGCAGACAAACCCCCGCCACATCACATCCTCTATTGCATATACATTTCCTCGGATTCCCCGCCATGCAGTAAGCAAGCTGGCTTGAGAAGTCACGATCGATTTACCCCCGCAATTGTTGTAGGTAGCCGAGAACCCCGCCATGCCCGCCGGCGCACACTCAACTGCTCAGATTCCCATCGACAATGGGGCGGCAGTGCACGCTCTTCTCCAAGGACACACTAATCTCCAGCCAACCATAGTCCCATCGCGTGGCTCTTGTAACACAACATCGCTCACCGCTGATCCACGGATGGAAGACGAAAACCACAGCAGCGACGAGAACTTCAGCGGCACGGAGTCAGATTACGACTCGGG